CGGGTGTTTCAATACATATTAGGAGCGCCGACAGCATCGGGTGTCAAATTAGGCTCAATGACGATGACATACCTAAACCAGGGACAGCCCTACGAAATCAGGCTTAAGAAGATTTCCGATATTCCTAGCTATGATGGCAAAAATCTCAGGACATCCATGCGCTTAGGTATGGTAGCTATTCATATATTATTCATGCGATCGTTTGTTAAATATTTATATTTTATAAAATTCAAATTTATTTATTTATTACCTGTATAGTATTTTCACTTAATCCTAACTACCGTACATTTAACTACAGTAATGTTAATAATAATACTAGAATACTATAATATTGTTACTATTTTAACTAGTTATTAATATAATATAATAAAACTAAAAGTTCTTAGAATTTGCAATAATTTATATAATACTGTATTTTCATTACTACTAAACATTTGAAGTACTGATTATAAATCAAATAAATTCAAAAAATTCCAGATTAACCGATAAAAAAGGTTGTCATATGAAAGTTTTCTACAAGCAATAATTTATATAATACTGTATTTTCATTACTACTAAACATTTGAAGTACTGATTATAAATCAAATAAATTCAAAAAATTCCAGATTAACCGATAAAAAAGGTTGTCATATGAAAGTTTTCTACACTCCCTTTCCCATTGCAAACACAGATACTCTGACCCCCAATGGAAACGTAAATCCTTGAGACTCTCAAGAGGGGACTGTTGTCTGCATTTTTTGAGACACTGTTTTAAAAAAATTAGCACAAAATTAAATTTTCCTTTTGATTAGAGAAATTTTATGTGAATTTTAAACTCATTTATTGTGGAAAATTCAAATTTTTATTTTTTCTAATGATTAAAATAATTATTTAATAGCTATTTGTACACATTTTATGTGCTTATTTTGATTATAAACAACACTATTAAGATTATTAAGATTAGTACATAAATTAATGTTGTTATAAATTACAAACATTTTAATACTATCTTATAATTTGTTATTTAAAGTCTAAGTAGATATTAAATAATTAATAAGAAAGTTATTTGAAATAACAGTTGGCATTAAAAATCAAAAGTCAATCAATACTTGCCTTTAATTCCTGTCAATAATAAATACATAAACCTATCAATAAATTATTTAAACATAAATATCTCACAAAAAATTTGATATTTATTTCAAACCACAGGTTTCGTAGAGAAGAGACTGCAGTATAGGGAGACGGAAGAGATGATCAATTGGTGTAAAATGCACTCAAAGGACCGCATAATAGACGTGGACTTCGCCCTCAGTTACGGCGTTTTCGACGTCCAAATCAATAGTACAGCCATTAATTCAATAGACTTCGTGTGGAACCCCAATCGGGAGGCCTCCATATTCGTCAAACTGAACTGTATATCCACGGAGTTTACCTCTAAAAGGCATGGAGGGGAAAGGGGTACACCTCTCAGGCTTATTATCGATACGTATGCGGCCGTACAGAATACGCGACTCGATTCCGCTCAGTGTTTGGTCAGTATATTATGATTTGATCTTTGTAATTATTAGATTGCATCTAGTATCATTCACTATCGTTTGGGAAATGAAATCTGCAGTAAATCTTAAACACAATTTATAAATGGAATTTAAGTTTAATTGTGAACTTTAATTTTATTTGAAATATGTGTTATTAATGAACAAAAAAAGGATGGTTATTATATTTTTGTCATTTGTAGTACCCGTATTATTCACGTCCAAATAATTGGTCTACCGCCTATACTTTGGCATGTATTTTCGTGTAAATTTTCTTATAATTTAATTTAATTTAAATGTTTT